TTCCTCCTTTTCATGCCATTGAACAGACTCACAGCTCGGATCTTCTCTGCCTCCATAACACCTGCAAAAAGGAGCTCGATGTCAAAAGACGAGAATAAAAACAAAAGCAAAAGTATCGTCTGAGCAAGAAACCTACCCAAACTCAGACCGGCCTGAATAAGCTTGTCCTCCGTCAGGTAGACTTCGCATTTAAGTCCAAGCCGGGCCCAGTCCTGGAGGCCCTTCACCGTATCTTCATCTAATGCGACACCAAGGTCAGGAATAGCCAACCCCCACTCAGTAGGAAACGGCCACCCCGTAGCACTTCGAACCACGAAGTAGTCCCGCTTCCATGCCGGGACCTTATTTGGGAGATCATGTAAGAGCTTGAAGCTCGGACGAGGTGACAAGTAGTATGCCCTCCTACGCCCGGGCAGGGGACCCGCTTGTTTCTTAAGCATGAGAATAGTGGAAAAAATTTCCAGGTCCAAAGGAAGGCAATGTTCACAGCAAAGGGAGATGGTCTCGACAAGGTTACGGATAGAGTTTGGGTGAAGCTGACCTATAGTGACGCCGAAGTGGTTCATGACCTCGACGATAAGGGGATGGAAGGGAAGGCGCAGCCCGACAACAAGCTGCTCCTGGAATATCACGATCTCATCCGGACCGTGCTCCCAAGGAAAGTTGCCCGAGGGTAAAATATAAGTATACTCCCCGGGCAAGTTGTACTGGGCGATAAGGGACCAAAGCCTCTCGGGCGTCATAGTGGAAGGTTCAAACTTGTCTGGCACCCGACCTCGACGGGAGGTGGATGCCAAACTACCCGAGGTGACTCGGCCTACGAGCTCGAACTCGAGCTCTTCCTCGAGCTCTACTTCAGGCCCCGCCTCGGACTCACTAAGGCTGTTGGGAGCTCAAGAAACGAATGCTGAAGAATGGCGAAGGAAAGTGATCAGGGGCCCCCCCACTATTTATAGCCATTGTACTCACGCATCAACGACCAAGATCAAAACCATCCGACGGCTCCCCATAAAACTAGTTGCGCGCCCCCCGAGAAGAAGTCAGTTTAGCGCGCGCTTTCGACGTTTGAAAATTTAAAATCGTTTGGCGCCTGCGCATGAACTGCATGCAACCCGGGATTGGCCCCTGGTCGAACCAAGCCGACCCTAATTGGGCCAAAAACACAAGCAAGTGAGACCGAAGAAGCTCCAAACCAAGGCCAATGCGTCGCAAGGCAAATCCACCCGTCATCCCGTGAACTCCCCACGCCGGGTTAGGACCCCGAGCACGGGGAGTAGGGGACAATTGATGGAGGAAGATTTGGCCCGACCCCTTGGCCACGCGACATGTGGAAGCAACCGAGAGTGACCTGGCAGAAACGCCAGCTCGGCACAACGGCGGTCGCACAACCCGAGCTCCGAGAAAGGGAGTTCTGAGCTCCCCCAAGAAAGGAACCAGCAACCCGAGCTCCCCAAGGAAGAACCCGAGCTCTCCCTTGGAGGTTTTGAGCCTTACAAGGAGCGCAAAGGGCAAAAACCCGAGTTGACCCACCCCGGGGCAGTTTGGGCCACACTTCACCTCGCACACCACTTCGGCTCCAAGTCGCCTGACTGAACAACCGTACCTGACGCCCAGGAAGCCCGTACAAGGAGGCGGCGCGCCTGATTGATTAGAGGTCCGACACATGACAGCGTCCTCCAACAGCCACCTTCCACCGCCATTTCAGACGTAGCAGAGACGACCCTGACAAGGATAGTGGCGGTTATGACACCCGAACTGGCAACTGGCAAAGGCTATGACACCCAAACTGGCAACTGGCAGAGGCTATGACACCCGAACTGGCCTCCGACAGAAATGATGACACTCGATCCGGCGGAGGTGATGATGCCCGATCTGGCAGAGGTATGGGAGTGAGTGTACATGGCGATTATAAAAGGCCCCCATCTCCCAAAGAAGGAGGTATGTGATTCTTGTGCTTTCTGGTCTTAAAGTTCCTCATTTCCCTTGCCTTCTAAAGAGCACTAACTTGAGCTTCGGAGTGTTCCAACCGGGTTCCTCCCCTGTAGTCCCCATTTTCTTCTTTGTTTCAGGCACCTCCAATTTCGTCAGAGGTGAGGTCACTGGCAAATAGGACCGACCGAATTGTGCACCATCAATACATGTAATGTGATTTAAACCTTCATCACTTGTGTAATATAAGATTAATGAGTTTGGACGGATTGGATTGGATTAAAGCAGGTTTGATTTGAAACCAACCCATTTAATTTTACATAATTGAGTCATTAACGGGTTGGCGGATTAAATGGATTGAGTTGAAACTCAACCCAAACCAATCCTCCCAATTGCCACCACTAGCTATGACCAGCGAGAGACCTTTTAATTTTAAATCTACACCTTTTCACATTGTCTTCTCATTGCATCCTTTCTCTAAAGTTCTTATATATTTTTCACATTCAACCGAAACTGAATAGAATTAATGGGTAAATCAATTAATCGGTTCAGTTGGTTGTTTTTTCTGTTTTATTGTAAGTTTCATGCAAACAAAAAAAAAAATCGCATATTTCCCTAAATTAAAGAAAACAACCAACTAATATTTTATCACCAATACACAAAAATATAACATTTCAACAATATTTATCTAAATGCAATCGAATAAATCAAACAACTAACAATTATTATAAAAACATATCAATTTTCATATGGAGCAGGATTTTCTTTGGGGACAAAAAACTAGTAAACATGGATGGAGGCCCAAAATATAGATGAGGTTTAGATGAGTATTGTGAGGATTTTCGAGACATAGGGGCTCGGCCAGCCCTGGTCAGTTTGGTTAGCTGTAGGTTTTTTCCAAGATTGATGAAGTCGGACCAAAAACCGAATCTTTAAGAAAAAGCTAAATTGAAACCAAACCATTTGATTTGGTTAGCCATTTTTTTCGGTTCGGATTATTAATTTCGGATTGGATTTTCTTTTTTGTTTTTCATGAACACCCTACTTTCTCAATTTTATGTATAGACTAGGAGCAGTTGATGGTTGTGTTAGAAGCTGTTTAAACAATAACAATGTTCCATTAGTCATTAATCATGCAAAGAAAGTGAGAAATTAAAGTGGTTGTGAAGAATACACACCTTATGGATGGATGATGTTGGGTGTTATTATTTCAAAGTGAATAATCACACAATCATTGTTAGATACGTATTTGACATATTTGGTTAAGGCATTAAAGAGGTAGGCTGAAGGCACATTTGCAAGACAGGTGTTATACAATGAATCATTGATTATGTGTTTAATGTTTTCACCGATACGGGTGTAAGTTGAGTGGGCTGGGCCAGGTTTTGATTCGACCCAGACTCAATCTTAAGACTTGGCCCAAAGGTCCAATTTAGAGGTCAATTTTAATCTATCCAATTCAGGCCCGTCCAAAGTGACATTTGATGCACTCCGGTTGGGTTGGGTTTGGGCCTGAGTTGGGCAATTAATCCATACTGAAATTTGACATATATGTGTATATATTTCTGTGTATAATTAGGTTAGGGACGGAAATATCAACGCCCCGAATTCGCCCCGTTGCCATTGTTACATATAAGCTTCTTCCGGATTCTTCACCAACATAACGTCATAACGATATCCATGTGAAGCCCACCTCGCAAAGACAGAAACCACTGAACGGAAGCGTACCCAAGTGGGCACGTAGCGTGGATTGCAGTATTACAGAGCGTCATTAAAGTCGGGCCTACTGCTGGAACTTTTGAACGAATAGATCGGAAGGTCCGATCCTCTTGTGAATCTGCCGTTTGTCTTAATTTGGCTGGTCTGGTTCTTAATTTCTTGCTCAACTGTTGGATGATTTGGTGGGCCATCTGATGGTCGAGGCCAATCAAAGATGATGAGAGGCGTAACTACGTTCAGTTGGGCGTATCAAAAGCTTAATCATAGACCATGGCTGAACGTGGCGCCACACTGGATAATTCACAAGGACCCGAATCCGTCTACAAGAAGAAACAGTCATCCCCAAAAGCTAATCTGGGACTACTTCTGAACAACTACCATGTGTAGCTTTGCATGCCACTCAAAGCGAACTTCCTCACATCTGTCATCACACTTCTCAAATCCCTCCACCTTCAAAAGAATCGGCACAAACACATTCCCATACTCCACTCTCTCTCTCTCTCTCTCTCTCTACTTTTCTCTCTTTATCTGTCTCTCTTTCTCTGTCTGCCTGTTTGGTAAGAGCTGTTTACAGGTGGAACAGATTATTGAAGGTTAGCTGGGAAGACAACAATGGCAGATCGCCAAACCGGCCCAGGCCAAGGCCAAGGCCAGAGAAATGTGTTAAGAACTAGCAGCGGTTGTGAAACGTTTCTGAGGAGACTCCAAGACCATGCACCCAATTCAACCCAACTAGTCGGGTTCCTAACGTTGGTAATTTCAGGGGGAATCTTGCTTCTCCTGACGGGGCTAACGCTGACGGCAACCGTGTTGGGTCTGATCTTCTTCACGCCGTTGATTGTAATATCAAGCCCCATATGGGTCCCGGCAGGGACGATACTGTTCGTGTCCATCGCAGGGCTTTTGTCTATGTGTGGGTTTGGTGTCGCCGTCTTGGCCGGGGCGTCCTGGTTGTACAAGTACTTCCGTGGGTGGCACCCGCCGGGCTCCGACCGCGTCGACTATGCGCGAAGTAGGATCGCCGACACGGCCAACCACATGAAGGATTACGCCAGGGAGTATGGTGGGTACTTGCAGAGTAAGGTTAGAGATGCCGCTCCTGGGGCTTGAGTCCTCGATTGACCAGACCCTCCGATGAGGATACAGGGTGATCGTGATCGGGTTTTGTTTCTTTGCTTTTGGTGGTTCTGTTGTTTTTTGTTGTTGCATCAAAACTCTTTCCTTTTTCTTATATGTATTATTTTTTTACATCTTTGGACTTCTTCGTTTCCTGAGGTTTTTATTTCTTCTTTTTAATCCCTCTTTGGAAGGGGGAGGCGGAATTAAGTGGATAAGCTCATGAGCGAGACTGATCTTAGAGAAAAAATTTTTTGATGGATCGATCTATAGAGTATGGTTGTGAACTTGTGATGAACGAGTAAAGGGGATTGAATGAGTAGGTTAAGGAAGAACTCTCGTACGTACGTGTATTATAGGCTCAGCTATCCAACATTAATAAATTATTTATATCTCCACCAATGGAAGAAATCACCGATTAGCTAGTCTTAGTATTAGATTAAGGAGGAATCATCTTATTGTTCCACGATTATTTCAATAATCGAATTTGTTGAACCATCTAAGAATGTTAGTCACTACGTGGGTTTATATGTGTACATGGATATTATATATATTTTTCATGACTGCGTCTGTGCCTGTTAATAAGAGAAAAAACAAATCATAACGAGGCAAGCAAGTCCAACAACACACCATCTCCCATTTCTGGGTCTGATACAGAATTTATTTGTTTCCTGTGTGGACCAGGTCGATCGGCCATTGTACTTGTTCAGTGTTTTTGGAAAATTAATTGAAATTTGTATATACACAGTTTATAGCAGTGATTGATTTAATATAAAATTATTCATCAACAGAGTGGACCCGTAGCTCTAATTTAATTAGCTGGACCGGGGGAAGGCCTCTGGTTCATGGGTCGACCAATTTAACATGTTTAGTTGTCACGTCACGTTAGTACATGATCATAAATTAAAAAAAAGCAGATCATGTTTTTTTTTTTTTTTGGATATCTAAAAAGCGGTTCATGTTTACAACTAGAAAGGGTTACCTGTTATCACTTTTGATTGAATTTGGTTCAACCGGTCGGTCTGATCTAGCTTTCAAAACATTGATATCTAAAATCATCAAATCAAGATTGAAAATTTGAAATAATAAGTTAATGGAATATTAGCATCTTGTCATTCAGATTTTTGTTGGTGTAAGCACTGTCTAAGCTAGTGGACTCGTTCAACAGGGAATTCCAGATCACTGAATTATATACAAATACAAGTCGATCTTCTGGAGTCTGGACCCATTCAAAAGTGGACCTCAACCCTTGAATTATATACAACAAACCGGTCTAGTAATAGCCTCCTCGCTATATACTAGCTTTCACATTCTTTCTAAAGAACAAGGTAAGCCAAACAACTAAGAGCCAATAAACAAAAGAAAATAACGAAACAGATGAGGGCGGATTTGGCCCTCAAATGACATTATCACAATTGGCACCCCATGACAACTAGTCAGCTCGCCACTATGCAGCACTTATAGGCAGTTCGCTATCATGCAGCTTGGCACCTCACAAACAGCTCGCTTTCAAGTCAGATTGACCACCGCATAACAACCCTGAGGTACTCACCACCGTATCCTGTATTTTACGGAATTGTGACTTGTAACGGCTATATTACCTCACCCACTCCCTGATTTAGGCGGAAATGGGCAACCTCACCAATTGGTGGTATTATCCCCACCTAACACAAAAACAAGTCCCATCATAGTGGGAATCTAGGAATTGCTCCACCAAAGCCGCGAGGACTCCAGTATATAAAGACCTCACCCCCCAGGGGCGAAGAAGGGAGGAAAAAGAAGAAGAAATGGGGGAAAAATGAAGGGTGATCTCTACTCTCTAGCTCTCTCATTCTCTAATATCATTTTCAACTCATTATTAAGTGCTGACTTAGCCATTGGAGTGTCCCCGTCGGGTAAGCCACTCCGGGTTCTCTAATTCAATTCTTGCAGGCAACTAGTTCCCGCCGTCTACAAAGATGAGCAGATCATCTCCTACAGGGAGCAGTCTGGTTGCACTACATTAGGGAACTCCACATCGGCCACTTGGGAGCAGACGGGATGACGAGATACTTCGTCAGAAAAAATGATACGTGACCAGAAATGGTTACATTAATTAACCGTCTGCTCCCATGTGACCAGAAAAAAATGATATGTAATTGTTTCTGGTCACGTATCATTTTTTTTTTGGCTAAGTACCTCGTCATCCTGTCTGCTCCCAAGTGGCCGATGACTCAGAGGTCGATGTGGAGCTCTCTAGTGTAGTGCAACCCGACTGCTCCCTGTAGGAGATTATCTACTCATCTTTGTAGACGGCGGGAACTAGTTGCCTGCAATAACTGAATCAGAGAACCCGGGGTGGCTTACCCGGCGAGGACACTTCGATGGCTAAATCAACAGTTAATAATGAGCTGAAAATGATATTAGAGAATGAGAGAGCTAGAGAGCAGAGATCACCCTTCATTTTTCCCCCATTTCTTCTTATTTTTCCTCCCTTCCTCGCCCCTGGGGGGTGAGGCTTTTATATACTGGAGTCCTCGTGGCTTTGGTGGAGTAGTTCTTGGATTCCCGCTATGATGGGACCTGTTTTCGTGTTAGGTGGGGGTAATGCCACCAACTGGTGAGGTTGCCCATTTCCGCCTAAATCGGGGAGTGGGTGAGCTAATATATCCGTTACAAGTCACAATCCCATAAAATGCGAGGTACGGTGGTGAGCTCCTCAGGGTTGTCATGCGGTGGTCGGTCTGACTTGGAAGTGAACTGTATGTGAGGTGCTAGGCTGCATGGTGGCGAGCTGCCTAGTGGCGAGCTGCCTAGTGGTGAACTGCCTGTAAGTGCTGTATGGTGGCGAGCTGCCTGTAAGTGCTACATGGTGGCAAACTGCCTGTAAGTGCTACATGATGGCAAACTGCCTATAAGTGACGAGCTACCTGAAAGTAGCGAACTGTCTAGTTGTCATGAGGTGCAAGTGTGAGTGTCATAAGTATTTAACTAAAGCAGCTGTAACGGAAAAGCCAAAACCGCAGCGAAAACACAATCAAGCTGATAGCTCAAAACATAAACGCTGTATACTAAATGAACTAAAGAAAATTCAACAAAAATTAAAAGCCATATATGTTCGAATCGAAAAGTCTTCCCCTCCTGCCAGTGCCCCAAAGCCTTTTGTACATGAAAGAACTAAGGACTCAGTAAGCATCCTTGGTCGCGGGAAAAGCAAAGCTCGGCAAAGGACTTGCACGCGGAGATCTCAGCGGAATTTCGTTAATCAGCTTCCCGTTGCTATCGTAATAGATGACACCCGAGAAATCCGGCGGTTGACACTTCTCCCCCATCAAGATCGTCTTCTGCCACAGCCCACCGTCTCCGAATCCTTCGTCCTTCTCTCCACCGCCGGTTTCGGATTCTTCACTGATTCTCTTCTTGTGGCGGAACGTGATCGCCTTGTTGCTGAGAGTCGTGAGAAGCTGCTTCGGCGTTGCTAACGGCGACTTGGGCGGTGTTCTTGGACTGCTAATCTCCGTTCTAAACTTCCTCGAAACCCTGCTGATCTGCTTGGCGCAGAGAGCTATGAGGGCCGATACAGAGACGAGCAAGCGGTTTCTTGGAGCTTGGGCTGCTTCGCCTTCTCCGGCCATGGCTTTCCTGTCTCAATGGCAATTCGATTGTTTTGTTTGGAAAGCCGAACATTTATTTGTCTATTTATAGAGGACCAAAGAGCCAAGTGAAACTCGCTCTGGTTGGACTGTAAACGGACAAAGGCGGTGGTCCCTGGTGGGACCACAGAAGATCATCCATCATCCATCCATCTACGGTCAAATCCATGAACCAGTAACTCAACTGGATGGTCAGGATTGGTACTCGTTTTCAAGTATAATTCTGATTGGGTGTTTAAGATGAATCCCCAGGGACCACCTACACATGTTCAACGAGGGAGAGTTGAAAAATGGTATGTCAACGCAAAGGGTGTGAAATGTGATGGACTTTGGAGGTCGACACGCCAAGACCAACGTGGGTATTTATTTATTATTATCATTATCATTAATTTATTAATAATTTTTAACCTGATTTGCAACTCAACTTGGGTGCTTGCTTTTTTTAGTGGGAGCCCACCGCCCACCACAACTCACTTAAGAAGAGGGTCCACCACTTCCTTCTCCTTTCGTCTTCCCCCAAAAACGTATTTATTATTTGATTAGCTAATCACTCTGCTTTATATGAACACATGTCACCTGCTCATCGTAACACATCATACAAGTCCATATCCCAGCTCAAAAATGGGTTCACTCAAAATGCTGATCTGATCGGACGACTGTGATGTGTGATCTATTTTAGCCAGTGGGTGTTTATCCTCTATGGGTGGCAATTGTCAATTGCACCAGCGTCAGCTAATCTTATACCGCCGGTTTTTAACCCCGGATAAAGGAGGAAGGTTGTATTAGGCAGTGATGTCAATGGGTCGGGTCTGACTCTGACCTTATGTACTGATGGATTTGTTTCGATTCCTAATTTATTGTGCTAATTGGTTTTATCCAGTCCCGAATCGATTCAGACCTGATTGATTCATTAGGGTCTATCGAATTAAAACCAATTGTCTCGAAAACTAATTGATTACTGAGTTTGAAATTATAGATCCTATAAGGTCTGATTCGATTCTGGTTATTTGATATTTCTTATTGGATCAGTTCCGATTTTACCCTATTTCTCACCCGGACCCAAACCCCTTGACAGCCCTGACAATTAGCATTAATTGCATTTGGAAACCATGAGACACGCATGTTAGGGCGTGATGAGTTGAGCAATTTAAAAATGGATATAGCATTAAACAAAAATAGAAGAGTGAAAATATTGATATAATAAACCCCAATATTTTACCAAAAAAAATCCAACCCCATATGGTTGGGGATATGTATTGGTCCATGATGATAGCGGCAGGGTGGTGCGTCAACCACTTTTTTCAAAATCTCTTTTTTTTTGTTTTCTTGTTTTCTACTAATGTTGGTTTTTTGGTTCTTATCAACATTGGCTGTGCCGGCTTTTCTGGGTATGGTTCATGCGAGTTTGGCCCAACTCATTGGGTGCTTAAAGCCAAAAAGCCAACCCTGTCCAGCAGGGTAATTGAGAGAATTGGGCCAGGAGCCGACAGCTCCAAAATGTCAATGAAAGCTATTGTCTCTCTCTCTCTGGGTTGATGGAATTTGGAAGGTAGCCTTCCACAGTAGCATTTTCAAAGTTTAGGTCAACTAACTCTGATAAGCTTCAAAAGCCCAGATACCCTAAAATTAATGGTTGTGGAATTCTAGTTCGTTTACCAAAATTTGTCTCAGAATAAAGCAACTTGTGTCTCTGTGTTTCCCTCAAGTCAGAAACGCTTTATATTTATGTATTGGCGGCGAGTCGTTCACCCATTTGACACAAACTCAAGACTTGTGGTACGTATTCTCTTATTTGGTTTTTTGTCTCTTAGACAGTCCAACCTAACAGAGTGACAGATCTTTCAACCAAATTTCTCTCTTCCAAGGGGTGGAGGAGGAGGCATTGATACGAATCAATATCTTGTGTACCATCCACAGTTTCACAAGATTAATTATGACATAAACTTATATTAATATAGTTATATTAGAATTAAGTAATCAGAGTATCTTGTATGAGTAGTTTTAAAGCTTATATTTCATTTCTGCTGACTTCCTATTTATTATATTTATTTTTTGGTTGATATTATAAATATATTTTAAAAATAGGATTTAACTGGAGGGAATGAGAATTAATAATTAATAAATATAAACCTTAATGAGAGGGAATAGAAGAACTTAAAATAGAGGACCAAATTAATAAATAAAAATATTTTAGTCAAAAAAAGTCCAATCTAACAGATGTTTGTACCAAATTTCTTTCCAAGGGGTGGAGAATGCATTGCTAGAAATCAAGATCGTGTACCATCCGTGGTTTTACAAGATTATGATACTAACTTCATATTAATACGCTAAATTCTGTTTAAAATTAAGTTCAATTAATACGCTATAGTTTCAGAGAATAACCTGGAAAATAGGAAAATATTTTGCATACCCAAGATATCCTATAAGGTTGTTAGATGACTATATGGTAGCGACTTTTGTTGGAAAAACTATATTTGAAGTTTTGCCTTTGGCTACACACAATATACTTACAACTGGATCAGGCCTGGACCAGTCCTGAACTGAATTAGTCGGTTTCATAAAATAGACAGAATCGAACCTATTAATTAGGATAAGGGTCTGGACCAATTAGGCCTGATTATATTTGATATTTATAATTGCCTATGATAGTAATAATTTGGAACTTCATTTTTGATAATATAATCTAAGTGTTTTTAATCAAAATTATCTCAATTAATGATTATAAAATCTATCTTGTAAACATAAAATATGTTGAGAGTCATGTATGAATAGTTGAAGAGAATCCCACATTGGAAAGGCATGAGAGGTACAATAAGCTTATATGCAAGGAGAGTGGCTCACAACCCAATAGCTTAAGCTTTTGAGTTGTATATGATGTCCCTCTCTTGTGTGCAAATCCTATGCAGATGTATGTGAACACTAGCTTCTTTAACTAAAATTTTGGTTTCAGTTTTCTTGGTTTGATCATTTCAGCTTTTGGGTTAATTTGGTTTCAATTTTGTTTTTTAGATTTAAAAATTTAGTTAACTGAGAAGATAACTGAAATTTTTTATTTGATTATTTCGGTTTTAACTTAATATGGTTTGGCTTTGATTAAAAAAATGGCTTATACACAACAGAAACAGATTTGTTCCTCACAAACCACATCTCATACCAACTTTACAACGCTTTCAGCCATCCTAGCAATTGAGCAATTGAGCCATCAAGACAGTGATCATAACCATTAATTAATCAATTCTTCGCTTGATTTGAAACTGTAACTTAATCATTGATAGAGTATTGTTGTCTCAGTTGACCTAGCTAGATCATATCGTCATAACTTGTGGTTCCTTTTACTGATGAAGAGCCGAGAGTTCAACCTTGATTCTTCCTACACCTATAATGAAAGCTATCCCAGCAGTCATATATAACGGCATGAACTACCGAAAGACCAGCGCCTGCAGTCATAGCTGTAGGTCCTAGCCCACTTTGTCTTGATGTATTATGAAGCCATACCCGCCGTCGGACCTATCCCGACGGTAGTTTAGCTGATGGATAAACATCACTCATCAGCCTAAACTTTAACTGGTAACTTTGTCGACAGCTTCTTACCATTGGAAGAGGCTGAATCAGCATAAGCTGATGGTTTCATGATCGTAATACTAATACCTTTGTCGACAGTTTCTCACCAGCTGGTAACTTTGTCTCACATGCATTCTTGGCAGTGCATTTCTTCCAACATTGTGGGGTGTTTAGGGACGGAGAAGGCCAAATAATTAAGACTCAGTTTTTCTAGTCCTCCTGGGTCAGGAAACTCTCTAGTGGTTCATTTGGTTGCTGAAAAACAATGGGATGAGATTAGAAGGGAGAATTTATTTTTTCATTTTTGGTATCCTGTGTTTGTTTGCTCAGACCCATTATTCTACAGGGGTTTAGATCTACAATGACAATAACGGGGGGTTAGCAGATGAAGAAGACATGGGAAGAAGATAACTTTGAAGACAAAGGAGACAACTTCGGATTCCTTGGCTGTTAGGGGACCGAAACACATGGGAAGAAAAATGAGGTTTTGAGGAAAAAAAAAAAACAAAAAAAACAAAAGAAAGATCAATGAGGCAAACAAAATACATTTACAATGTTACCTTCGCCGGAGATGAAGAAGATGGTGATAGAAAGGAAATGGGGTTCTAGGCAAAGAGAATACAAACAAAAAAAAAAGTTTAAATGTTGTGAAACGGAGATGAAGATGATGATCAAAGGAAGATGATGATCGGAGGTCCTACCTTCGCCAGAGATGAAGAGATCAATGATTTGACTCCTTAACATTGGGGATTTGAAGCTGAACTGGAGAAAGAAAGAGAATGGGATTCCAAGCAAAGAAAATAAAAAAAAAGGTTTAAATGTTGTAAAACGGAGATGAAGGTGACGACCGGAGGTCCTACCTTTGCTGTAGACGTAGACTTCAATGGTCCGAATTTTGACCATTTCAGGGGTGTGATGCTCGGTTAGGAATCAGGAGACCAGCTCTCACGCTCTCGATAGTTTTTTTTTTTTTTCATTCACGTCTTAGATTTTTCGTTTGTCAGTGGAGTATACACCTATTTCACTCTTTCACCCAAAACAAACGGAAAACATGGATCTTGGATGAATATTCCTATTTTTTCATCTGGTTTGTGGAAACCAAAAAAATTATAAGGGTAGAATTGATGGTTGTAACACAAGGATGAAAGTTAGCACAAATGAACGGTTAAAAAGATTTCATAGTGGAAGGGGACCATGATCAGGTCAGGTGGTTTTGTCTTGGCTGCAATCATGAAATCAGATGGGCTGGACACAAAATCATGTGCTGGGGGCAACCTCACAGCATGTCCCACTCGCACAAGGGGGGTCTGGGCCTGCTACTCACATCAACCTCACAACATGTTCCACTTACACATCGGAAATACTTCCCAAACTTTAAGTTATTATTCATGGAAGATATTTCCTATATACACAATGGAATG